GGTCGGTGTCAGTTGAATGCCAGTGACAGTGTTGTCGGTGCAGTGTATCCAGTACTCAGTGCTCAGTATCTCGGTGATTTCAGTTATCAGTAAAGTGAAACTGCACATCCCTATCTGGACCTATCGAATGATTCATTTTTTATAGCTATTTGTCGTTATCAATGAACGTATTGTTCTTTTTTTTGAATGAAATAAAATAAATATTTTATATTTTTTATCTAACAACATTTTCATTGATTCGACATTTTTTTTCATTCGATTTTTTTTCTTTCGATATTTTTTCCTTCGACGTTTTTTCCTTCGGCATTTATTTTTTGAGACATTTTTTTCGACGTTTTTTCTTTCGACGTTTTCATAGTAAATCCTGTTCATACATAATTCATTGCTGCACGCCGATGTTGTATTCATCATTTTGGACGGGTAGTTCCGATTCTGAAATGATTCCAATTCTCAAAAATGTCTATTTTGCTCTAGTCTAGTGATGACACAGTTCATTCAGAAGTTTATTTTTCTAATAACAATACATGCTTGATTGTATATCTAGTGACGTAACCAGGATTAAGACAATGGGAGCTCAAATAGCTAAACTTTCTATAGTGGAAAGATTCGCCGTAGTTTAGCTGCCATGAGTTCGATCTATGAAAGAAGACTTAGCCGTAGCTCCTGATTACGCCACTACTTATGTCTAAAACATATTTAATCTATAAAAGAAAAAAATGAATCGTTCTCAGCATCAGTCACATCATTTTTCAATCTTTTCGAGTTAAAAATCTTATATTTTGTGTGTATGATTGTTTGTTTTCGTTCAATCATATTTAGATACCGTGAAGAGTTTGATAATTATCATCCATTTTCTTAGAGGATCGACAAGCTCAAGCTCGTATCCGTTCCAATGATTCACATATGTATCTATTCGGAGTATTTGATGGTCATGGTGGTCCTTGGTGTTCTGATGTTGTTGGTCAACGTCTTTTCGAATATATTGCAGTTTCTTTACGCCCACCAAATGATTTAGAAACAATAATGCAAAAAGCAAGAACAATGTCCAGTCATGATCATAGTAATATATCATCATTACTTTTACATTCATATTATAATCCATATAAAGATATGAGAAATTCAAAAATAAAAGAAATTCATCAAATTAATTTATTAAAACATATTGAAGAAGTTTATACAACATTTGATAGTGATTATACAGATATCAGTGGTGCTTTAGAAAGTGCGTTTATTAAATTAGATCGAGACATATGTGCTGAAGCTATACCAACTGATACACAAACAATCAATGAAGATTTATTACAAATTTGTACAGCTGGTTCATGCGCATGTGTTGCATTAATTAAAGATACAGATCTTTATGTGGCTAATTGTGGTGATGCACGAGCTATTCTTGGTAAATTATTTCAAGAGTATATAAATATTCTACATTCGTTTTGTTTGAGAAATACGGTCTAAAAGAAGTGTTGAATTACAGTTCTGAACAAAGGTAGCCGCCCATCATGAAGTGCTACAATTCTTTATCATATTGAACTTATATTTTGACTATATATATGCGACAATAAATTCTGATCGTAAGCACTAGTTCATCATGTGTCGGTTCAAAAGTACTGAGGTTTATGATTCAAACATGCTCTTTCTCTTATTAAAAACGTAATTGAGCGAAAAAACATGTATTCAAAAAGTTTTTGTTCAGCATTTTGCTTTTCCACGAGCTACTACTGGTTTTTTTTCTAGCATTAAAGACAGTCCTATATTTCATCATCAAAGCCCATAAATCTGTAGCTCTAAAAATTTTAGAACAGACTTGTCGTCTCGTGAGAACTTTCTGATGAACTTTTCAAAAGAATAGATCAAAGTCATCATGGAACAGATGCATCTCACTAAAATTCAGTATGTACTCTTCAACAAATATTCTTAATGAGTATACAATATCTCGGTTATTTTAAAGTGATTTCTAACAAAATGTGAATTAGAGTTAGTTACGTCATTGAACTTTCGAATGAGGGGTTGAACGAATATATTTATGTCAACATAGTTGGGATAAGGCGAGCAGAGGACTAAGATGCTGTCTGAATCATAAGTCCAGTATAGGTCAACAAATAGACGACGAGATGGTGATTGCGAGCAGGGTTTATTATTGTTCGCATGCACCCAAAATATCACTTCAATATCATAAAGAATACTAACACTTCATAAGGGACAACTAATTTTGTCCAGAATCGTATATAGTGTAGAAATTTGCACTCTCCACAGATCGTCTACCAATAACTCCTCGTTACAGTATATTAACTACTTCCTTATTGCATTTATAGAAGATTATGTAAAAGGAGAATAGAGACATGTGTCCCAAAAATATGTAGAATAAAACAATCTTTATGTGATTAGCAACAACAGCTACATTGTGTTTCATAGTTTAATCCCACAGGAATTGTTCTAACAGCTTTTTTTTTCGCTTCACAGGTACTATGGATGACAATGGTAATACATCTGTAATTCCTCTTTCCAGTATTCATAATATAAATAATAACATTGAAACTAAACGAGTTTTATCTGAACATCCATCAAATGAATATCATTCAGTTATTCGTGATGATCGTTTACTTGGTTTATTAATGCCATTTCGTGCATTTGGTGATATACGTTTTAAATGGCCAAAAAATTATCTTAAAGAATATTTACAACCATATCATAAAAAAAGTAATGCAATACCACGATTCTATTTAACACCACCATATTTAACTGTTCGACCTGAAATAATAAAGCATAAATTAACAAATAAAGATAAATTTCTCGTCTTAGCTACAGATGGTGTTTGGGATTCATTATCACCTGAAAAAGTTGTCGAACTTATATTTAATCATCAAAAAGGTATACAAAGTTTTGACCGTTTTGTTATAAATAAAAATGAACCTAATAAATCATCAATTAAATTAAAGACAATAAGTAAATTATTATATGAACGACAACAAGCAATTAAAAATCAACCAATTGATCAAAATTCTGCAACTGATTTAATTCGTCATGCACTTGCTTATACATCTAAAGGTCAATTCGATAGTAAACTTTTATCAGATGTATTAACATTTCCTCATCCACGCTCAATACGTGATGATATAACAATAACTATTGTTTATTTTGATCAAGATTATATTGATCAAATAGAAAAAAAAATAAAATAAAATTTTGAAGCAATTTTTTTAAAATATATTTTTCTTTTTGTTGATTTTGTCCTATTCAAGTTTTTTTTCTTTTCTACGCATGCTAAACATCACGCATGAATTCTTGTTTTAGTGAAATAGATAGATTATAATTTTTATATTATGCTGAATAAAAATTTATGTAGAGTGAAATGATTTTTTTTTTATAGTAATCTAATAAAATTTAAGCGCGTATGTATTTGATTTTCTTCTAAGTTTTTCTACATTTAATATTTACGCTTGCCAAAAAAAGAAAAATATGCGGCGGCGAGTTCCTTATGTACCTTAACAATAATTCATATAATAACAACAATGTCAAAACGATATATATTAGCATCAAATATCTCACAAACTGATATTAGTAATAGTGTACAAGAAATGGATGTTATTGAAGAAGGTGAAGGATCATATGGAAATGATTTATTGAGTGGTTCATATCCAATTAAAGTTCTTGCTTATAAAGTAGATACACCATTACCATTATCAACAACAACAAGTGTTAATAATTCATTGAATTATACCGTTGAATTACATATTGGCGAACGAGAAAAAATTGGTCAGGGTACATTTGGGTATAGAAATTTTCCTATATCAGAATTAGAATTATTTTAGAATAAGAACATTGAATTAGTATTAAAATTATTTTGAGATATGAGAATTTGAATTAGATTGTGTTAGTGGCAAAAAAAAAACTAGAGAACAAATCGAAAAAAGGGAAAGATGAGTAGTGATAAAACAAACATTAAAAATTAGACAATTGCCATCGTGCAGTATTAATCCTATTGGATGATATTAGCCTGTTAAACCATTCAAAATGATTACAGAATGAGATAGTCTCTGAAACAATCTACAATGTATAAACATCTAATGTATCTTTCTATAGATTAAGAAGAAGTATCTCTTCTTTAATTTGGTCTCTTCATAGTCTGAAATCTTAGGACGCGAATTCGTGTTGCCCGAATTTAAAGAGCTGAGAGTCAATAATAATGTTATTAATATTCAAAGCAGATTTAGAATCGATCTGTTAATCATGAACAATGCTCGTCATTGTTCAATTTAATTATTATATGCTTAAAATTAAAGCGATATTCTCTCGAAATTCCAACGAGTTTAGCATTTATAGAGAATCTAATTAATTGAAGCTACACCTTCACACATGTTCTATAATAAGAGAATGGGTCGAAATACAGCGGCACAACACCAGTGAAAGATTTAGAAAGGTTAACATATACAATCTCAATTTCTAAACGGTGTCTATATCTCCTTTATACAGATAAAATAGCATTATAACTACGAAAAAAATTGAATGAACAATAAACTTAATTTTCACGTCATTCAAGACGAATGGTTCATTAATAGCTCATTCTACATTGAAATCACTTTGCTTAAATTAAACCCCATCAGTATCATAATGAATACCTGTAGTTCACTCAACGCCAACTCTACTAAATTTGTAGCAGATCGTAAAAAATTCATCGCTGTTTATTTGAAGTTCCTCTCATATAATGTATTAAAAAATCTAGGATATATATGTATGTATATAATATCATCTATCAATATTTGTTTTTTATTAAGATCTTTTTGTTCATAGTAAAATAATACATCTGTCTTGAATAGAAAAGTTTACAAAGCGAAATTAATAACAACACAAGAAATTGTTGCTATAAAAGAAGTTGAAATTGAAGAAAAATTTAAATCACGAGAATTAGATATACTTAAAATAATGATTCATCCAAATATAGTTCGATTAAAATATTTTTTTCATTCATCCTCAATAAAAGATATTTTATGTCTTATTATGGAATATATGCCAATGAGTGCTCATAGATTAATATCAAATTATCGACATAATCATAAAATACTTCCATTATTTTATATTAAATTATTTTGTTATCAAATGTTACGAGGTCTTGGATATCTTCATATACACGGCGTTGTAAGTAGGTATTTGTATAGAGAAATTTTTTGTTTACATTAGATTCTTTTTTTGTTTACAAATAGGCACATCGAGATGTTAAACCAGCTAATATGATTGTTGATTATGAAGCAGGAATATTGAAAATTTGTGATCTTGGAAGTGCAAAAAAATTAAATAAAAATGAAAAATCAGTTTCATATGTAAAAAATAAAATGAAAATCAATCGAAATTCTTGAAAAAACAATTTATTTTCTTGCTTTTTCTTCTAGGTATGTACTCGTTATTATAGGTAAGTAGATATTTTATTTGAAAAGTATTTGATTATGTACAGTAAAATGCAAAAGTCTTTGCTCTCTGTATTTCAACTAATTCTTGGGATGAATATTGAAATCAATCATATTCACAAATAAGACATGATACAAAGTACAAAAGCACTGTAATTAAAATGTGATTCTCTTTTCTAATGATTTAATCAAAGCTAACCCATTATAATTTTGTGCGTTTTACCAAATGATTTAGAATAATTGAGCTGATTTTTGTAGCACTTCTCACGTAGAAACCGGTTAATGTTGAAACTTCTGTCTTGCTCGAGTCTCGAAGATAGGCAGAATTACTTTTGAAAGTTTCAGATGAGGTTACTTTAAATGATTTGAACGTAGAAGCTATCGTCGATATTCTCTCTTATGAATACTAGCCTAGCAGGAACACGACATCTAAACCGTCCTATATCATGGTTTTTTGTCTGTACTTTGAAATTCGCTTGACATCGATTCTTGAACTCCTTAGCCATCAGCAAATCATCTTTCTGAATGATTCGTAAGAGGTCTTGCTCATGAACACTATTCGGCTCCAATTTTCGCCTTTATGTCAAATTGACTCCTTGATACTCCCATCCTTCAGTATTCACATGCAAAAATTGGTATTCCATAGAACTAAGTATTCCCCAACTAATCCGTTCGACTTAATGCTGTATTTTCCACAAAGATATATGTTCATCTCGATCATCAAACCGTTTTGCATCAGTATTTTCGTCGTTGTCTCGTTCTTTCGCCAGATCAATTCACCGAAACTCTTATACTGAACGACAGTGATATTGCAAAATCGATCATTACGGTACCTGTCCTAACCTGAGCCATTTTTTGTTCTTACCTAGACGATATTATATTTTATAGTCTAAAGGGTAATCGCTGTCAGGTAATCGATTGTTGCTCTTCCACTACTGTAAAATAGTTTACTGCCTCGCTTTCAGCGAATTAAGATTTTGTTTGTCGAGATACTTTCTCTCAAATCACGGACGCTTACGATAATTTGTAGCTTACATAACTATATATCGATCTCCTCTCATCGTCTACAGAGTTTTCAAAAAATGTAATCCAAAGCTTCAAGAAAAATTGCTTATGCAAGAGCAAAGACTTCTGCATCTTACTGTGTTTATTTCTCACAAATCAGAGCTCCAGAACTTTTACTTGGTTGTACTGAATATACAACAGCTGTTGATATATGGTCAGCTGGTTGTTGTATGGCTGAATTTCTCAATGGTTATGCTATATTTCGTGGTATTGATTCAAGTGATCAAATGTATCGAATAATAAAAATAATTGGTATTCCAACACGTGATGAATTACGTGAAATGAATTCACGTTATACAGGTTCAGTTGATTTAACTGTGATTACATTTACACCACGTACATTACGTGGTTATTTACCTGAACGTACACAAGAATCAGCATTTATTTTACTTGAACAATTATTAAAATATAAACCAAATGAACGTTTAACATGTCAAGCAGCACTTGCATCTGAATTTTTTTCTGAATTAAAACAACATTCTATTTTATTACCAAATAAACGTAATTTACCACCATTATTTAATTTTCGTGAAAATGAATTATCAAAAAATTCACATTTATATTCAGCTATTGTACCTGATTTTGTACGAAACAGCTATACTGATATAAATGATATTGATAATCGTAAACTAATATTGAAATAGATTATTCTTTTCTTTTCGTTCTTATTCTCACTTTTTTTTTTTTGTTCTGTATAATGTTGTTTATCACATGATACATTTTTATTGACATACCATTTATATCGTGATTATGAAACTTCGTCGTCGAAATAGAGTTGGAAACAGTGAAAATGATAGAATATATTTAGTCGAAAATAATAATCATAATAATAGACATGAACATTCAAAAGTATTATTAAGAAGCAATTTTTCTGTTTTATATTTTTTTTTTCATATTCTTAGATACGTCGAATAGCATGGAAATTAGCAAAAGGTACATGGAAAGCGTTTAAAGTTGGTTTTCAAGTAGCTGTGATTAGTCAACCATTTTGTGTTGCCCTTGAACCAACAGCAATAGCGACAAGTATAGTTGAACATCAAATGCGAAACAGAGAACGACGTTGATTAATAATGTACAATTGACCTTTCATTAGTATTAATAAAATAAATCTTGTTTTCTGTCAACGAATTCTTTAATTAAAAAAACAAAAATCGTTACTTAAGATGTTTATATCTGATAAAAAAGAAAAAATCAATGCAGTTCATCAATGTATGTTACAAAACATAAAATATCTGACAACATATTTGAATCAGATGATAAAAAGTAAAGACTACTAAATATCATAAGTATAAGCACCGGGTGACGATATACCTAAAGATGAAGTTGATTTGCATAAATAATCAAATTGATTACTTTCATAATCATTATCTTCGTCTTCTGATTCATCATTTTTTCCATATGTTTCAATCGTTGTTGTATCATGATGACATCGTAAGTTAAAAGATGTATTGAAACTAAATGGTTTTATTGATTGTTGACTACTTTGATCAGATGATGATGTTGTTGTTGATGATGGAAAAATATTCGAAAGTAAATTATGAGAAGGTCGTTTACTTGATATTGATGAAGTTGTATCTTCATAAACATGTCGTTTATATGCAATGGATGTGGGTGAAGGAGGAAAATTAAATGTTGGTATAACATGAGCTCTTTCAGCACGATATGTTGAACGATCAGAAAGAGGAGATAAAGAATTTTTAACGATTGAAGTAAGTCGTTGAAAATAAGGTATTTTTTGTGAGTTAGGATTCATATTGTTGTTGATAGATGATTGTTTCTGTATAAATTATTTAAAAAAAATATAAAAGTAATATTCTTATCTTTTATCTTATAGTGTCTATTTTTCTTACTGATCCTGGCTTATGACATTCATTAGAATGATGTTCATGTTTTGAAATATGATGATGAGTGAAGGCTACTATACGACTGGTAATAGGTGTAAGTGGCAACTTTGGTGCTTGAGGAGCATGTTCAATCTATTTTATATGAGAAACAAAAAATCAATATTATCAATTCATTATTTCATAGAAATTTTTATAAGACGTACTTTAGATGAAATTCGTTTTTTTTGTTCGCCAATACCGTTATCATAAACAATCGTTGTTGGCGGTGTTCTTGGTGTACGTTCATAGTCATGTAGCGATGTTCTTGGAGTCATATCCAATGGAGTAGGTTCATTGAATATTGGTAAAGATGACCCTTGTTCACAGTGTTGACGGTTCACTTTATCAGTATTTGTTAGTTTAAGTAAAAGTTGCTTTGAAGAACTAAAATAAATCTGTAAGAAAAAATCTGATCGTCGAATAAAAACTATTAGGCAAATCTATATGTGTTATTATCCTACATTTCAAGTCTTGCATCAGACTCACATCAGTAAAAAAAAAAAAAAAAGTCAAGCATTTTTTACTTTTACATAGTGATAAGTTTATTCTTCGTATATTAAGTAATGAATACTTTATAGACCCATAAGTTTCGAGAAAAAAAAAACATCTGAGCGTCATTTTCATTAACAAGTAACACAAAAGAAAGTATATATATAGTAGTAGAGATATGCAGAGTAGGGTGGGAAACGGGTAAATCAGCAGCTTCTGAGATTTTGTTTTACTAAATCCTGCTATATATTTTCTCAGGAGACGAAAGAAGTTAGACCGAGAGTAAGTACCCTTTGTGAAAATAGACAACTAGTATCCATAAAAAAATTCAGAAGTTTTTGAACAAAGTCTCTTCGAGATATGAGACTTTCAAGATTATAGACCTTTTGCTATGAAGAGTATGTATAAGATGTACTTTTTGAAAGCTACATATCTCGAAAAGACTATTTTTTAAACTTCTGAATAGTTTAATGGTGATTAGCCTAGTTGAATTCTCTATATGTGTAAAGTTTCAAACCAAAATTTGAATATTTGAGTTTTTCGAAAGCCTGCATCTCACAAAAAAATCATTGAAATCGAAAGGTGGCAGTTAAGAAAGTTCCCCATCCATTAGAGTACGAAAAAGCTTAACTTGCGCATCTCTGTATGATAGTGAAAAACAATTTTCAGAGTTTCTTGAAGTCAAAAAGTTTAACTCTACAATTCTGTACTTACATTGAAAGTATATTTTTTTTTAATTTCTCTTCGATAACCCATGGATGTGTTTTAGCCCATAAATTAAACCAATTAATATCATATCGACTATCAAGTACACCAGGCATTCGTTGATCAAGATAAGCAAAAATTTTTTGTCGCTTTGATACAGATCCTTGTGTAGCAGCCCAATGTATTGGTGTTAAATTAGCATGATCTTTTATTTGTAAACAATCATAAATATGTTTATCTTCTTTTTGTCGTTTTTCTTCTTCATTATTTTCATTTTTTTTTATTGACAATAATAGATGTAAAATAGATATATTAGCTGATCGACAAGCAATATGAATAGCTGTATGTCCAGCAGAAAGACGTCTTTAAAAAGTGCTCATATCATCATTAAAAAGAAAACAACAACATTTGTGTGATAAATAAAACTTACAATTTAGGATCAGCTTTATTTGCTAAGAGATATTCAACAGTACCGATTTGATTGTAATAAGTAGCTGCCGAAAGTGCTGATTCACCATATAAATTAAATGCATTTATATCGACACCTATGAATGATTCATATTGATGACTATCGGAATGAAATCATGGGTCAAACGTTTATCGTGCTTGCCTTGGTTTTTTTTAGCTACTCACTATGTGTTTGCAAATATTTTTGAATTTTAAATGTTTGACCTAATCGTGCAAACTGACATAATTCGTCGACATTGGCCATGATCTGAAAACACAAACCTTTCCCAATGGTGTTTTCTTTCTTTTGTTATCATTCAAATAAATTAGACTTTTTTCGTTGTTTTGAAACAAAAATCAATCTTGTTTTTTTTTTTAAACATACATTTACATCTAATGCTAATTAGACACATAAGAATTCAACTGTTTCAAGTATAAATACAAACAAAACAAAATAAATAAAATGTTTATGTTTTTGTATACGGATGTGTTCGTCGAGATTTAACAGAAGACGATAATTGTTTATATGAATGATTTCTTTTACTAGTTGAACTAGCAGTTGATGAATTCGATGATAGCGTTTGTATTGTTGTTGCTATTGATGATGATGAAGTTTTTTTTTCATTACGTCGATTTGTTTGATCAAGAATTAATGGCCAAAGAATATTTGATGCAAGTGTATTTACAGTACGATCATGTTCAACTCGACTTTTTATTGCTGTTGAATCTTTATTTGTTGAATGAAGTAATGTTAAATATAGATCATTAACAGGATCATTATTATTTGTTATTGACATTGTTTCACTTTCAGCTGGTGTTGACTGTTCAGTTAAAGAATTCCAAAATTGATCATCATCATCACCATTATGATTTAGTGTAATATCTGATGGTATTAGAATATCACCAAAATCAATTGTATTCGCACTTTCGTTTGGAATAGATATATCATTATTTGTTATAGAATTTGATACTAATTGTGAAGATGATGATGCTGATTGTGGTGGCGATAGAAATGTAACATTATGTGAAACAGTTGTTTGTAATTCAGATAGTTGAGGAACTGTAACTGATGTTGAACGACTTAGCCAAAGTGTAAGATATTTTCCTTGACTATTTATTGATAATGATCGACTTGATATATCTTGTCCATCAACTTTAATAAATTCTGTATCTAAAAAACAAAGAGAAAATATAAAGAATAGTGTAAAAAGAAAATAACGAAAAAAAAACAAACCTTGACGTAAATATACATTGATTATTGAACGTGATATTGAATCAAATTCAATGACATAACATAACTCATATGCTACACCTTGTGCATTCGTTAATTGATCAGTTGCATTTATATTTAAACGATTTACTGTTAATGCAAGACAAGGACTTAATCTAAAATATTCCAAAAGTATTTTAAAAAAATCATATTTGGTTTTAATTAATTTAACTTACTGTTTAAATATTAATGTTTTTGTTTGATTTTGATCTCCACATCGAAAACATGCACAAGATATTTGACTAGATTCAGTTAATAATGTTGTTCGTATTTCACCGACATCATGAATTACATCAGTTATACTTAATACAAAGAAACAAAATTGAACAGATTAAAATTCAGAATAAAATGAAAACTTTTGTTCGCTTTTCTTACCTATTCGATATTGTGCAATCACATTCTTGACAGAGACAATATTCGTTAAGCTCAGTCGTAAATAATTCTTTAAGAAATAAATCGAGACGAAAAAGACGGCGAACATTTTGTATTATATTCGTATGTATAGAACTTTGTCTACAACGATTAAATAAAAATATTTAAAACTGTTCTATGAGAAATAAATATATGAAATACTACCAATTAACTGGCGGTACAGAATCAACGGCCCTATACCTGAAAGCCGGTTTCCGTACACGCAAGATGACGACATATGAGCGTCATCAGATAGAGCTCGAAGCCTGATTTATTCAAACTTATGGCCACTACCCGACGTCAAGCTACACATATCATCATCTTTTGGATGATACTCTTCTTACCTATAATGATAAAAAAAAAATTATTTATTGTAAAAAGAAAGTTTTTTTTTTTTTATCACCCGATATTTCATACACAAAAACTTGGATTTAGGATCTTTGCCTTATTTCAAGTGAATGAAATAAAACATGAGTTTTGTTTTACTCACTTTAATATATTTAGTAAAATATTGGAGTATTCATCCAAAAGTTGTGATTGATTTATTGATGTAATAGAAGAAGTAAATAATGTTTTGTCAAGGTTATGAAATAATGAAGATGAGATATTATTTGTTTGTGGTGATGAAGATGATGATGACATTTCAACGTAACGATGTAAGAAGTCAGTTAAACAGGTTGAAAGTGTATAATAAGTTATTGAAAGCTGTCGAGCAGCAATCATTGATGACCAAATTGTTTCGCTTGATACCGACGCCATTTGCATAATTATGCTCAAGGTTGGAAATAAAAATGAAGCTATATACGTCTTTGTTGATTACATGAGTCATGAAATTCTCCCACGTAAAGGTTTTAATTAAGGGGAAATGTCCAATAAAACAAAATATTTATTTCGATAAAAATCTTGCTTTTCTTCTTTATAAAATCTTTTTGAACATTATTCTTCAAATATTTCAATGATTAAAAAAAGTATCGAATTCAGTGTTGATCGTCATGGTGCGACCTCTATCAACATACTTAGCAAAAAAAATCAAAGTTGAGTAAGTACGGACTTCCGCGAGTGCCAATGTCTCACATGTATGCCATCACATTACAGTATAATTGTCGAATATAAATAGGTACAGTTTTAAATAAGATTGACAGTGGAAGAAATCAGCTATTTGTTTCATCTTCGAAGGGAAGAAATAGGTATCTAGTACCTCTTTGATACAACATATTTTATCTGAAAGAACGGAGAAGGACATGGTTGCTATTCTGCTCTCAAAATGTTTCAGTTTTTTTCTGTTGAAATCAATCCATTGGCGACACCTGATAACATTGCAAAGATTTATTTCGCAGAGTCTCTCGATCAGGTTTTCGAGATGTATCCGGACTCTTCTACGAAATCAAGAAAAACTTAGCTATTCTTCTAGAGTTATGAACATGACTTGAAAACTTGATCAAGAGACGTCGTGAAATAAACTATTGAAGTCATATTAGGAGTCCTCACTAAATTGATTTCAAGAAAAAAATACTGAAATATTTTCTGGACTGACGAACAGTCGTATCTACTCTCATCTTTTAGAGTGCTTGATACTCGAATACGCTTTTCCAGTGGAGTCGAACACTTTTCGTGCGTTCTCTTAGAGAAAAAACCTTTACATTCTTTCAAAAAATCGCGACACCTCCACCAATGTTGACTACTTCGGGTCAGCCCTTATTAAAAGACTAGGTGTAAATGTAACCAAATACGTGAAACGTAAATTGAAAGGTGATGTGTCTTGATCGTTGGTTANTTTAATACGAAACTCTAAAGGTTTCGTATTTTCCTACAAATCCTATTTTTTGGTCTACGGAACTTAAAAAGGTTTCGAAGAAAAAAGGATCTTCACTTGGGTACACGGTAAGATCCTTTAAAGGTTCTGTGTATTTTTGTATTCTTTTTTTGAAACTTTGAACACATTTGCAAGCTGTTTGTCATCTGCCGAAACCTTTTTTGAGGTTTCGTACAGTTCCTTTTTTTTTTTTACAGTGTATTAGCATTAATGAGTTTCGTATTTTCTTCGAATACGGCACTCTCTACGCTTTTACTACTATTCATCAAACGTTTCAATAAGCAGAAAGCAATGATGGGGCTATGGCTCGACTATAATGCATTGTGCGATATCAGCTGCTCCGTGTCAAAAATAATGACATAGGAGATGACTTATAAAATATATTAACGAAAAGTTATCTTCAACGTTGCGAAACCTATGCAAAAATACGATATCAATTCCGAATGTACATATATTGACTGTGCGAAACACACAAGTCAACATTCAAAAATTGATATCATATTAGGGTAAGTATTTGGAACAGATAAAAGTGTGTAATATGTTACATGATTAACATACATATTGGAATCCGATTATACGTATCATTATGACCAAAAATATTTGCGTTCATTAAACAATAGCTTTCTGAAACAAAAGATAACTATAGTAAAAGTGTGTAATGGCAATGGACTAACATGAATAACTGTTTCTGTTTTCTTAGTTCATAAGATTACTAGAAAAATCGTACTAGTTACTTAACCGTTCGACTCTCGAAAGATGTTACATATCCAGACAATGGAGATGCCGGAGAAGTTCCGGGAGATGCAGCATCTGCCACATCGGTATATCCCAGGATCTCCCGACAAAAATAGTTTTTTGATTTTGACTCTAGGACTCCAGGGGAAGATATCGTATCTATGATTACATTAAGCCAAAGTCTTACGATAGTGATATTTATATGATCCTCTGTATCCATATGTTCCATACATCACTCACAGTTGTTAGATGAGATGTGTCGATGTTTCAGTGTACGCTCGTGTTCTTACGTTCATCTACATTTATCAGATACGACTGTGTGCTTCCGTGCGTATTCATAGTTCCTTCGTTATCTTCAAGCGAATAATATGTTCCGAGACACGGCATTTCTTGACGAGATGCCGCAGCTTCATAGGAGATTACTTTCTCTATTCTTAATGAACAGTGTGGAATTTGGTACCAATCTTTAGACCACATCAATTGTTACCTGGCAATAACGGTTTTTTGATAACCAACAACGTTGGAGCGAATATTTTTTCATGACATGTGTTGAAAACCGTGATCCTACAAGACTTTGAGCACTGAGACGTCCACACTCGAGATGAAAAAGGTCGTATTTTAGTATCGATCGATATATCTCATTGAATTTCATGTAGCACGAGTGGTGTCTTAATGCACATAGTTTTTCGAACCAAAATGTGGTGGACACTCTTGATTTTTTACTAAGAACAAACTTCGGAAAGTTTTTTTTAGTTTTTAAGAGTTTTTTCACAATAGAAGTCTTTCAAAATGTATGTACCGCACAGTATACTCGGTACACTATCTGACAAAAGTCTGTTGGTGAATGTTTTCCCAAAAAACGTTAGTCCGCTGCTAACTTTCCTTACGTCGGAATGGAAGTGGTTCTGTAGGAGAAGTCAGTTCGAGAAGAGCAGTAGTTAATTTGAATGGTATTTATTCAATCTCTTTTACTTTCTTCTCATGTCCTATTTTCAGAATATTTAAGATCATGTAACGCATATGTAACATTCACATGTACTGCGAGAAAAGTTTTCTCTTCAGCAACGTTTCCTTTGTAGTAGGGTACTGGTATAAAATTACATAGCACTAAAAAGAATTTCGCCGAAGTTCGGGCAGAGTCCAAATCAAGGGAAAAATGGCATACTTTGTGCTTGCAGTTAATTTGCGCTACTTCACAGCACTTCGAGGTAATTTAAAGTACTTTGCTCTAATTTTAAGGTACTTTATCCTACTTTAGATTAGTTTAGACGTTAATTTACTGTACTTGAAGTCGGCTGTTTCCCCCTTTCTTCAAATGGTTGCCAAGATCAAATTATTGTTCATAGAAAGTTTATGACTAATCTATAGATCGAATATAAAGCCTGATCAAGGAATTTCTATTGTTGAATAATGAATTACTTTGTAATCTTTTAATAATCATCTACTTTATCATTTTTATTGAATCTATATGAAAATATCTTTTTTAACACATTTATCAAACATTTACATAGATAATAAGCAGAAAAAATAACAATTTCATCTGACCATTAATTTCTAAGAAAAAATATTTTTATCTGACAGAAAAAAAAAATCTCTATGTATCTGTACAAAGCCAAAATATATATCTATTTGAATGTTTAACCATTAATTATTTTATTTATCGGACACGAATAAGAACTTTACGTTGCATACGATATTGAACATCACCACGACGTACCATTGCATGAAGAACTTTATAAATAGCACGTTCAGAATAATTCTAAAAATTTCAAATAGATTTAGAAAAACAAGATTTATTTTATCGATTTGACTCGTACTTGTCGAATAAAATCTTGAACAATAGCATGTTCTGATACTTGTGAGCCAACAACAAATCGACGTCGAACTTGTTTTTCAATACGAGATATTTCTTCTTGATCTTCACGTGTTGTAAAACCTTCGATACCTAATAGAAAAACAAATCATTCAAAAAATTCAAGTTCATCGAAAAAAAGAAACGTACCAGCTAAGTTTCCTGAACCAGCTGATGAAAGTGTTGAAACATGAAATAATCGAAGTGCTTCATCAACATCAGCTTCATTAGCAAATGGTGCTAAACGCATTTTAGCCAAACTTTCAGAAATACGAACTAATGCTTCAAGTTGTCTAATCAAAAAACAAAACTAAACATAATTAAATTCTTGAAGCAAAAAGTTTCTTACCGAACAGTAATTGGAATTGCAGTTTTCTTGCCAACTTCTCGTTCATAAATACTCGTACCATTACGCATAACAACATATTGATTACGTAATTTTTCCGAAGCACTTTCCGATAATCGTGGTCCACATTTACTAATTAAAAACAAAAATCAAACTTTTTTTTAAACTTCAAAAAAACAATTTTACCTTCGACAATAAGCAATGTATTTTTTTAGTTTTTGAATACTCATATCACCAGCATTATCATCTGTATTTAATATATTCATATGAATTTTCATAACATGTTTAGCTAAAGTCTAAATAATAAAAACAAAGTATTTTTTTTCTTAATGCGAATTCCTTTTTGTTGTAACATACTGTATCTCGTTTTTCATCATGTTCATCTTTAATGATAAATATCATGTCAAAACGTGAAAGAATTGTTGGCATAAAATCTAAATTATCATCGCCTTTTAAATCATCCCATCGACCGTAAATTGAGTTAGCTGCTGCTAATATACTACATCGAGAATTTAATGTTGTTGTTATACCAGCCTTAAGAAAAAAAAATTAATTTATTATATAAGAATTTTTCATATTACTTTAGCTATTGATATTGTTTGTTGTTCCATGGCTTCATGAATAGCAACACGATCATCTTCACGCATTTTATCAAATTCATCAATACAAACAACACCACCATCAGCTAATACCATTGCACCACCTAATTTCAATCGTGAATATTAATTACAATAAATTGAACTACTGTTTACCTTCAATAACAAAATTCTTCGAACTTGGATCACGTATTACACTTGCCGTTAGACCAGCTGCACTGCTACCTTTACCACTTGTATAAACTCCAGTTGGTGATACTTTTTCAGCAAATTTTAATAATTGTGATTTAGCTGTACCGGGATCACCAACAAGTAATACATTAACATCACCACGACGAAATAATCCATCGGGTAAACTAAAGAAAAAAAATCTTAAATCTTTAAACATATTTATCATTCGATTAAACTAACCGTTTTCTTGAACCACCAAATAATAAACAAGCAACAGCTTTTTTAACATCTGTTGCACCATAAATTGATGGTGCAATACTATTTGAAATTATTTCATAAACATCTGGTGTTTGAGCAAATCGAACAAATTCTTCTTCTTCAGCTGTTGTTAATGTTTGAGCTGATGAACGTCCAACACCATCTGTATCTATACGAATACCAAGAACACGAACATATGGTTGACGTGTACCAACCGTAGATTTTTCTTTTCCTTTCATCTATCAACAATGAACAATGAAGCAAAAAAACATTTTCATTTAATTTATTTTACTTTGTTCAATGGAATATTTCGTTTAATACAATAAATACCAACGAGTGTTATTTTATTTCCTGGCATTGCACGATCAACAAGATTTCTATATAAAATAATACAAGTCTTATGAAAACAAAAATTTACGCAACAATTAGACTTACCGATCACAATAAAGTTGAATATGTTTTGGCATTTCACCATGTGGTACAAATTCTGGTGCTTCTTGTAATTTAAGAATTTGAAAATCAATACATTGACATTTATCAGGCATAACAAAATATGGATCAAGTGGACATGCTGGTTGACCAGGTTGAGTTCTATCAATAAACAAAAAAAAAACAAACAATATTAATCAATCGATAATGCAAAAGAACTGTTATTTCATAAAAGTTCGTTTATTGTTTAACTCTTTACTCTCTGTTGGAATATTCTTGACTCATAGAAACTTATTATGTCAATTAATTAAAGTATCGAATCGAGATAGTTTCCGATTATTGTGCAGAGCTTGCAATAAACTATAAATTCCTAAAAAAAATTTCAACTTCATTCCTCGGTGAAGATTTATCAGTTTCATAACGCTGCTTTTTTTTCATTTAGGTAAACAAACTGATTATTCCAATGGTTGTCAACTTGATGTACAAGAAACATATCCATGAAAATATGAATCATATTTTTGACTCATTTCTGATGAATAATATGGAAATTCGTTTTTTTTTTCTAGAACCTTTTTTTTTAATTTCGATAGATTTATCATCTCCCGCAGTGAATATTTTCAATATACATACACGCTATTACATTTTCTTGGCATAGCATAACCTTCTAAACCAGGTTTAACTTTAATATTCGAAATAACATTTCGACATGAACGACATTGTACAGCAATATGTGAAGCTTTTGTTCTTATACTACTTGCTGCAATAACAATACCAACAGTTTTTATTAATTTTGATACATATTCCGACTAGAAAAATAGAAACAATAATAAATAAAAATATGAAATAAACAAACTTTTAAATGTCGAAGATGAAGTGGATGTGCATCATTCATTAACATGATTTGTATATCATGCATATTAATGTCATCATCCGGACGTGGACGAGTTATTTCATCGGCAACTTCTTTAGCTGCTTCTTCAAACTAGAAAATAATTGTCTTAAAACAAAAAAAAATCCTAATTTTTTTTTCCTTACTAAAGGTAAAAGTTCTGATGGTAGTTTTTTAAGTTGATCACAAAGATTATCATCATAATCACTTAAATGTCTTAATTCAATATCAATCCAATATCTTCGACTATTATAATTTCGTCGTAACATTTCCCTTAAAAAATAAACATTATAACATGATTTTTTCCTATTAGCATATAAAAAAATACATACCGATAAATAAAAAGATTATTAATATGAAATTCTCGTATAAACATTTTAAATTTTCTTTTAATTGATGCTCGATTAAGATCACTCTCATTATCAAATTCATTATTATTATCAGCACCAAAATTATCCGAAAAAAACACTCCAACATCATCAAATCCAGCCATCTAGAAACAACAAAAAAAATTTAACTAATTCAATATTTTTTTTTCTGCTTTCATCTTGGTTTTTTTCTATAAAAAAAAAGAAGAATGTTTACATACACTTAACTCACTCTTTGTACACACGAAAAGAAAAAAAAACAAAGAGAACTGTACGAGTGCGTGTATGGTTTAGGTTAATCCCACGCGGCAATTAAGCAAAAGACAAAAAAAAACGAAAAAAAAGCATTGTTTCATATGAACAGAAAAAAGAAAAACTGATTTCTATAATAAATTATAATTATACAAATGTCTGAATTCCTAAATTCTTTGAACACGTTCAGCTTGTACAACAGGCATATTTTTACGTATTTCATTTTGACCATGTTCTCTATAATCAAATGTACAATTATGTTCATTTGCATAACGATGTAATGAACAAAATTGACCACCACAACGACAATCAAAACCTAGAATTTCATAAAAAAAAAAATTATTAAAAAAAAATAATAACAAAATATTCATCGTACCTGTTAATCCAAGTTTTTTATTACATGTTTCCCATGTACATCGATTACGCTTTTTTTTGTTTTCGACATTAACAGGAGAGGCGCCTAGAAATATCAAATTAATTTTTTTACTAACTTCATTTTCTCTTTCGTATTTCTACAGCAGGCGTCCCACTAATATTGCATGGTGCAACACTTGTTATAGAAAAAGTATTCTCTTTACTCACTTAGTGACTTAGTCTCTTCCGTCTTTGAATCATTCTTTGTTATTGCGTCAGTTTCAATTGACATTATTGGAGTAGATGCAGCATGATGAAGAGGACTAGCAACAGTTTCTTGTTTTAGTTGATCATCACTGTTATCATTTTCTGTTGAACTATTGGCATTATCTTCAATGACTTGATCTTGTAGAAGATTTTGAGATGTCACAAGAGTGTTAGAAGATGAATAATAACCTTTTTAAGATAAAAAAGTAAAAATTTTATCTTTTTTTGGAAATATTAATTGAACATACTGTTAAATGAATTCGTTCGTCCAGCATTATATGAACGATTAACATTTTCACGATAACATTTTGAACACATTCCTTCAAATTGTGATGAACCATAAAATCCACAATTATTTGTACAAAATGTTGGATTGGATTCGGGTTGTTCCATTGCTTTTGTTTGTTTTTTTTTACAAAGAATATACAAGATGTTAAAATACTGTGTTACACTGAATAATCTAAAAAACAAAAACACACGCATCATTTATAGTTGTGCAACGATGACGCGTTGTAAGACATCACGTGTGAATCACAGGGATAGAAAAATACGTCATATGATTGTCATCGTATGCGTACGAAAAGGAAGAAAGGAATTTGTTTTTTCTGTTCTTTGTCTTTACGTGAACAAACAAGAATGGTACAGAGAAAAACAGCAATAACAACATCCATAAAGGATAGTATTTGTACTACTAAAAACGAGGTCAATAGAAACATTTTGGACGTAATGAATGTCATATGATAAAATTCGGAAAAAGGAAAAGAATAGACTTCGTCCAAGGTTTTTGTATAATAAGATAAAAAGTCCTTGGATAGGTACATAAAAAACTTTCTGACATGCCCCAATATTAAAGTTAAATCTTAATATAATTTAACTCACATATGTTCAATAGTGTGGAATTGAAGAAATAAAGAAATGAATTGACGACGTTGAATATAAATGACAACAAGTCGATATGGTCAGGCAGTAGACAAAAAACAATGCAATCACATGTGATCAACCATAAATTAACAAAGTCGACCTCTAACATGATGTTAGTTGTAAGAAAGAAAACTTGAAAACAAATAGTCACTATGGACAAATTTCAGATAGAAAATGAAAAAATTTTGAAGAAACAAAAGAAACTAATAAGAAATAAACTTTTTAAGTTTATTCCAAAAAAATAAGTCATCTAATTATAAAGTATATTTCGTTTAAATAAGATAGATGGTGCTAGATATGAATATTGAATGTAAAAAGGAACATTTCCTGACGTCATAGTTGTCCTATATTTCCTGCAATCTGATTCTTATGAAAAGACTCGCATATGATAGAAAAGAATGTCATGTTTGTTTATGTAAATATGATGACTAGAGCAAATGACACGAGTGCTTTTAGTATTAAGTACGTTAAATAAGAGCAAAGTACGCCAAGAACTCACGGTTTTGATAAAATACTTTTTTTTATTGCTGGAAAGATGTGGCAAGAGTGAAAGTAAATTGTGGATTAATATTTTACTTTGGATTCCTATTAAAAAAATGATGAATAATACAACGCGAAGAGTGTAGCGACTCTACATATGTGTACCTTTATTTTTCATGGTTATCAAGATGTTAAATGAGTTATAAATCAATCCATCTTTTTTTCTTTATTTGCTAAAGTCTCTTGCAAAAGATAACTAATCTTTTTCAATGAAACACAATCGAAAAGAATTATTGAAGTACAAAGGTCGAAAGTCGACTTCTCTTCAGCACAACGGATAGACACAGACGTCAAGCAACAAAGAGCATTCATTGTTTTTGATCAAAGTTGTTCGAGTTAAAAAACTTTACTGATGAGTTAGTTTCGAGTTTGATTGCGTTTTCATGTTCCTGACAAAATTAAAGTTTAAACACAATAATTATGTTGTTTGACTGTGTATTACGTCCTTTCTCGCTGATGTGACACATAATTACATTAACAAGGACACGTCAAGACGATGAAGGATACTTTTGTAACGCTCTCGCACACCTCCGCTTTTTTTATCGGAGTACTTGAGAACGACCTAACTACGCTTCTCCTTCGTCATGCATTGTGACGAATACCTTAGTATGACTGCCTGCTTCTCACGGACCATGACAAGCATACTTGTGATAACTTTCCTGTGCCTTTCTTTCTCATTGACTGTAACATACATAATGATTAGCATCTTTAATCATCGACATGCATTAACAGTAGGTGGGAATTCATAAACTGAAACATGTTGATGAATTTCCTCTTTTACAATAACAGCAGTTCTGTCATGTTTCACATTTTAATCTCACTGACATTGTGCTAACAACTTTTTGTGCTTCTACATATTTTCATTATATATACTTTGATGCATATCAAATACGAAGCGGTTTAGTTGTGTTTATAATTATATTAGCATGCATGTATGGAACAGCTGGAAAAAAATCGAACTGCGATATTTTTTCAGAGGAAACTTTATTCTGCTATTATTTTCCATAATTTGAAAGTATTGTTCTGAAAAATAGAAATCAATGTTCTTTATAAATCGTGCTTTTCTGTTTCTATATTACCATGGAGTGACGCTACCATGTTAGAACATTTGAGATTTAACAAATTTTGAATGACATAAGAATATCTAAATTATTAATTACATAGATGATAATTATTTTTTCATAAAAAATTCAATAGAATTATTTCTAGAATTTACTGCTATTAAATATTGTTCAACGACCACCAATAAAAGAGACTAGTTCTTTAGAATGATATCAATATAACTTAATGGATGTAAAACAAAAGTTTCTCATGAAGCGGCTAAGAAATTTCAACAGAAAAAAAAACCAAGGTATTTTCTTTCACTGATGAATAGGCAATCATTTTCAACTGTTAAAGCTGCTTAGATGTGCCTCTAGCACTACATTATCGTAAACTTGACTTTAATGTAAGTTTTCTATCAATATATATGTACTAAAACCTTTGATATAGCATCCATTAAGTTGTCAATGTAGTATAAATCTGAGTGAGAAAACATGTCTTGCCAAGAAATGTTCTTACAGAACCATCTACTACAATAAAAGTGCAAACTCTATAAGTCAGACAGATAATTGAAAAGAGAATTACTCATGACCATTTTTTTTTGTCTTCCGGAAACTTATTGTGCATTGAAAAGACAAAGCCAAGTATGAAGGTTTTCAACTTAATCCATTATAAAATGAATTGATTTGTGATGCGTTTATAATGAAAAATTAATTATTTTTGCATAAACTATTAGATTTATTTTCAAAAGACAGAAAAAATAATAGATAAACAAATAATCTTAATTTAAACAAATTGATGAAGCATAAATAATTGCTTGATGCTGAAGTTCATTCAATAGAAATTATCAAAATATCAAGAGCAATCCAATTGATCCATTTCGTCACAAGCATCTAAAGAAACAAAAGTATTCGAATATTAATCGAGAAAAAATAAATTTTAATTACATTCAGGAAAGAGAGATGTTCGACAAGTTGGATTAACTAAATCTGAAAGTAATCTTTGTTGAGACTATGAATAAAAATTAATAATTCTAAACAAAACGAAATTTTAAAAATTATTTCTCATACTGAATTATTGCTTGAATTAATATGATCAATTAATAAATTAACTTCACGATAAATTTCTTCTGAATAATTTTTATCATTCATTGTTTGTAAAATCTATAATAAATAAATAAATGTGATTGGTTTTATTTTATTTTTCCCTTACTGTTAATAATTTCGTTGAATTAAACATTGGTAATAATGTTTCAGTATCTTTTTCATTAAAAATATTACGTAATAATGATAATAAACAAATTAGAAATCGTTCATCTGTACATTGTTCAAGTAATGAATAAATACGATCAATTGTTAATCCTACAAAAGTTTTTATGTTTTCTTTATAAAATAAAATTCTATTTCTTTTTTACCATTAATAATATCTTGTTTAATTTTAAGTGTTGATAAATATGAGAGATTACGTAAAGCCCACATACCATTAATAGATAATTCATGATCTGGATGTGTAAGAAATGAAAGAAGTATATCAAGAATACCATCGGAAAGTAATTTCTGAATAAAAGAAAATTATTTATTATATAAAAGAAAACAAAAACTAAATTTACTGTACGACAAGTAGAAAATTCTAGTACACTATTACTAATAACAGATGATGCAATTCTAACTAAAGATAAATCACTTGATTTAATAGCATCGAGTAAAATATCACAAGTCGTATCATTAAATGTTGTACGAAGTTGATGAACACTTCGAGATAAACCATGAAATAAACATAGAGATGCTAATTTTAATGATAAATGTGGTGAATGATAACATTCAATTGCCGTCGAGATTAAATCTAAATTTTAATTTATTCTCTAGTTAATTTTAGAATTATGAAAAATATAAATTATAAATTACTCTTAGTAAGTTATGCCTCACGGATATCGATATTAGAATTCCTATAGTCAATATCTGTAAGTTCGCCAGGAAATTTCTGTTCACAATATGTAAAGTTGCTACGCATTAGTCAAAACTTCTAATGTGTATTCATAGTAAAGTATGTGATCAGGTGCGAAATACGTATATCGAATAATATAACCCTTCAACTGTACTAATAGTTTTAAAAGGAGGTCATATTCAGTAGACCGTGTCATTATTTGGCCTATTTTTTTTAACTCTTCTGTTCTAAGAACTTCCTAATAAAGGGAAATATCTCTTCATAGATGAAGAAGTTCAAATTAAAGATCAATCTTATTATAGGAGACTGTAACCAACTTCTCCTACATAAGTCGTAACAATATAACATTCGATACAAGTTTCATACGCTCATAAAAAGTATGGTTCCCAATTTAAAAGATGTTGATCCCACTCCTAGATTGTCCATATCTAGTAATGACTAATGCTATGCTCTGCTCTCTTAAATTAAACTGATTCAGTTGAATATATTCAATGTACTAATTCGAATTGCAATATTGTTTGAAAAGAAAACTTTTAGATTTCTAATATTGTATCTCTTATCTCTTACTTTCTTGATCGGCAATTCGTTTTTTAATATCTTCATGATGTGATGAAAGAACTGCAAGTAATGTTAAAGCTGATGAACGTATTTTTATAAGTATTGCTTCATCAATAGTTTCATCAAAAACTTTATTGGGTGTAAATAGATAACTAAATAATTTACTTAACAATTGTTCTGTATATATTGCTATATGATGTAATGTACTATTCCCATTTAATAAATAAGTAAGTGTATCAAGACATGCAATATACAAATAAATACATTTATTTATAATTGATTTTGTACATAAATGAACAAGTGTTGTTAATGCTTTATGAGATATATATGAATCATCACATGATAGCACCTTTGTTTTGCAAAGATTAACAAAAAATTTCGATGCATAATATGATATTATAACTGGTCGATTGAGTTTATTAAATAAATTTGATATTATTTCAAATAAAATTTGATTTGTTTCAGTAGATATTGTAGTTTGTAATCGTTGAGCAACAGCAACATTTTCATAGCATATTGAACAGAAAAATTTTAAACAAACTCCAATCAGATATTCATTGGCAAGACTAAAAACAAAGATATATAGATGATATTTCTAAAAAGTGACTAATATGAAAAATATGATTAAATATTTTTTTCGAATCTTATTTTTATAAGAAAAGGAAATTTGATTTTGAAAACACTTGTTCTGTCGCTGTAACTAATAATGAATTCAATGTTCGATCTTTTAATTCATAAGCATACTATTTAGACAACCTAAATAATCTAACAGAATCTGCTTTTTTACTTGTTTTTAAATGGTTTCGAAATTCTCATTAGCTTGAATTAGAAGCAACATAGCTCACGACGAGTAAGTAGAGTCCATCGAGTAGAAATTTTTCAAACTCGAATCCGATCGAACCATACTTCGATGCTTTCTAATGAAATTATCTAATCCTGGAGAAATCGGCTAAGAGATATGGGGGGTAGAGATCATTGAGTCCGAAATTTTTACACACGAACCTGGTCAGATCCGAAACCAACTCAAATGACTCCTACCGATAAGTCTATCGTTTATATATAATTAAATTCAAAAGGACTAATTTGTTAAAGTATAGGCAAACTTTAATTATTCAAAATTCAAATCAAATATTGCTTAGTCAATTACAACAAATGATTTGATGTTAATAATAGACAATAATGATGTCAGCAGCAATGTTTTATAGAACGGAAGAGTAAAGTGCATCCGGAATTGATGATCATACTTTTGGGAATTCCAAATGTTTTCATTGAAATACAAACTCATTATTTCCTATGTTCTTTCTTTTCTCTTAAACATCGACCTATTTAATAATTTATTTTATCTAGAAATCTAATTTTTACTCATATACCTGACTAGATTAATTTTGTTATTATAAAAAATATTTTCTACAAGTAGATGCATAATAGATTCAATAAAATTCATTTCCACAATAAGATTTTGTCGTTCATTATTAATACATGCACAACATAAAATTTCTATAATTGATATTTGTGTTGATTTTGATATTGATAATAAACAATGAAATATATTAAATGTTTGAGAATTTTCAAATAGAATATCTACCGGACAATACTTATCATTCAATAGAAAATTTTTTGTTTGTGATATAGATGGTATTGTTTCATGTTTATTTTCATCACATAAAAGTATAAATGGTATTGGAGTTAAATATGGATTTGAAAAAAATTTTGAAAGAAAAAATGAACGTAAACAACGAAGACATGATTCATAAAAATGATTTGAATCAATTTGAATTGTTAATAAAATTAATATTTGTTCAATAAAACCAAGTTCAATAAGACGATTTAATAAATTTTTATTATTTGATTTAGCAAATGATGATATACAATCAAGAATTTCTATAAGAATATCAATATTTATTGATGAAGAAAATTCTTTGAGTAAATTAAAAAGAATTTCAAGTATACCAACACGGTAAAAAGCTATTTTACATCTTTTTGAACCGATTATTAAATTTTTAAGCTTAAAAAAAACAAACACAAAAAAAAAGAATATATTCAAGCATTATTTTAATTAATTAATTTTACTTCAATTAGAGCTTGAATTCGTTCTTGTTGTTCAATATTATCAACAAGTTGTTTAAGTAGATATTCTTCTTGTTGAGTCGGTAGATCATCATCATACGAAGGCATTATCAACTTTGTTTTCTTTTTTTTTTTAATATTATGGAAAATATGAATCAATATTAATTACTAACATAACAAGTCAAAAAAGAAGAAGAACGTCCAAATATGTGATTGGTTTCTATAATAACAAATGAAAATTTATTTATTCATTCTCTATTAAGAACAAACTAATGAATTTCTTTTACTATCATATATGTTTTATTCTATTAGATTTGAGATATATAGAAAAAATGTTAGTTGATACATTTGAGAATCTAGAATTTAAATCTTTAAAAAGTTTCGAATGCATTAATGAGTTATTTATTATCAAGTAAATCTAAGATGTTGACTTGTTTGTTTTTTGGTAATCTCAAAGAAATAATACATCAATTATCTTTTTCTTTCTTCTATTGATACATTCGTAGATAGAATTTTTTTAAACGTCGCTATCCAAGCTCCGTTGCCTAGGCACAAGCTGTCTACTACTGGAGGGTGAGAAAACGAGACAGAGAAAAAAAGCAGAAGAAGGAATAGAAATGCCTTAGGGAAGTTCGATTCGCATTTGTTCTTTTTCTTTTTCTTATTTGTAACCCTTTCCTTCTTTCTTGTCGCTGTTCGGCACATTGTACTGTGCCCTATACGATGTCGACCACATGAATTACTCATCATATGCACACATCCATTTAACCGTTTTTCTTTTTTTTCTCTCTCTGTTGTTTGTTCTTACATCCATATAGACATACTAGTTATAGCAACAACGATTCGAATGTTGTTAGTTTATTTTTCGTTCTCTTCTTTTATTTCGTAGATCTATTCATTCAATAGTAGTAGTCTCTATTTTTGATGAATCATATTCTTCAAGGCTGAAGACAGGACAAAAAAGTCATCATTCTTTCCCTCTCATTTTCTATTATAGGTCACAATTGTGCTGTCTTTTTATGTGTCGGGCATGTTTGGCAGCTCGTGTGACGTTGACCAATCGAGTTCAATTGTTCTTCTCGTTATTTATTAACAGGTTTTTTTATTTTTTTTTTATTTATTAAAACTTAATATCATATATATTTATCTTATTTTTTTTTTAAGATTCGTTATCACTTACTATTGTTAAAAACATTTTAAACGTGCTCGAAAAATTAATCATGTGTGCTGTCGTCGACATTCCTTTTTGATACCGACTCCTGTTGTACTTTTTCATCATATATGTAAGAATTTTAGAAAAATGAAAAAAAAACTAAAGAAAATTATTATCTTTTTTCTTTATAGAAAACAAGAAATTAAAATTCTTCAAATTAATTCGTTTCTCGTCTATTATAATATTTCAATTATTCACGTGTTTTGTTTTTTTGTTCGTTTTTTTCATCGCATTTGTTCATCACATCTAGACAATTCATCTTGTTATCATCATCATATATACATATTATTCACACATATCTATAGACAGTAGTTCAATTTTGTTTCTTTTTTTACTACAATGACACAAGCAACAGTGAGTGAAAATAATATTTATTTTTATTTTTTTAATTTTTATTATCGATAGAATACCAAGAAAATAGATAGATATATAAAAAAGCAGCCTTAAAATAAGGTTTTCTGTTCTGTTCGTATAACCCCTATATAAACATATGCATTGTCTCATTTTTTGTTCTCTTTTTCGGATACGAATAGACTTTTTTTTTTTGTCAACACAATGTATTTATTGATGTTGATAATAATGACGCTGGTGTTATCATGAAAATCGTTGACAACGTATGGTTATCCTAAGTATTATAGATACTTCTATATAAGAACATTCTTCTCTTCCTCTTTACTGAATATATAGATATCGTATGCTAAGTTCCTATTAACTATGGATAATGAGATGGTCGAAGTTCATTTATATGGTTACAATACATATGCTACATCGAACTTGAACACAAAGGAAATTGTATTTTGTGTACAAAATGCCAATATTGTTGGTGATATCAATAGTTATGGCCACTATGACCTTGTTAACAGCAACGATATCTATCTCCCATCATTGTTTCTAGTTGATCAGCAAGAGGCTGTTGTCTCCCATCCATATAATCATCATGTGAGAAGAAGAAAACGAGAAGACAAAGCTCTCTTGTCCTTCGAATAAGGGTATAGTTAGAGAAGAGGATGGATGGTAAAAAAGCAGACAGACAGAAAAAGAGAACAAGGATACACAAAAGCGATGAGGCAGCAAAATGACGAAGAAGAAAAAGGAAAAGAGACAAAGGCAACAAAAAATATATTTGTTTGTTTTACATAATTTTTTTTGTTCAAGGTAAATGTCGGCAATAGTGCCGTCAAAAATCTCAATCCCAATGCTCAACAATTTTCGTCGCGCGATTTTAACCATGGAACAGTACTAGCCGGATCAACGGCACCCAGTGGTATAATTTATGTTTAATTTCTATCAAGAATATAAATATAATAAATTTTGTTTTTCGTATATAGATGATTCGTACACAGACTATCTTGATAATGGCACGGGATCTTATCTTCGGCAACATCAATCTCAAATTTTTCCGAGTAAGTTTCAATTGTTTTTCTATTTACTTCCTATATATATATATGTATATGTTGATAATTCAGGTTTTTATTATGAGGGTAAGAGATAGTATACGCATCTATATGTATGTGTGGAAACATTGCGAAAGAGGATAAAAAGAAAAAGAGAGCAGTCATTCAGTTACTTTTTCTTCTTTACCATGCTTCTTTTTCTCGGTTATGTGTCCCGCTACTCATTTCTCAATCTCTCTCTCTCGCGCGTTCTCCACACACGAGCGCACGACAATATGTAGCTTCTTCTCCTCCTGATTGCCAATACATACACTATTTGCTTTGAACAACACATATACACACACACACACTCTCTCTCTGTCTTTCATTCAATGAATTTATGAGTGGTATATTCATCTAAAATATCTTATTTTCATCTTCATTATTATCCTAGTCGATCCATCATCAATCGATACTCTTCAACAACAACAGCAACAACATCAACAATCAGAATCAAATTTTGCCGTACATGAACATGCGGCTATGCTTGAAACAATTGATCATCAACAAACACCACTTTTAAATCCAAATCATTTGCATCATCCTCAACAACATATAAATCAGACAATGCCAGGTAACAATAACCTAATAGTCAGAAGAGAAGGAAAAAAATGTGATGCAATCTTAACGACAGAGGTCATCGATCATCGCGCTCTTCATATATTAAGGCGGGTGTATATATATATGCAATAAGCCTGTCAGCATACTCCTCTTCGTTATCACTTTAGTTCAATACAAAAAAAAAAAAGAGGGAAAGAAAAAAAAGAAAGCATTTAATTGTTGTTGAACGGGAGCCAAAATGTGATGAACGGCTTATACATAGAGGATAACCGTCGTCGGTTTATGTTCGCGCGGACGAGAATGAGAGAGAAGAACAGAACATATACACCGTCGGGTTTGAATTGCAAGCTACGTGCGCATACATACACACATACACGCATATCGAATTGTTTTGCTTCGTCGTTCTTTTTTTCTCTCTCTCGAGCCTATGTACATATGCGTATAACAATCGAAAGAGAACATTACAGCGCGCGCAAGAGAGAGAGAGAGATAGTGTCGGCACCATGTCTTCCTTCACTTGACGCAAGTCTTTTTTTTGTCTATGTGCATATAAGAAACAACAACAATAAAGATGATCTATGAACGACGACGTGTCGTTAATCAACAATCAGGTTTCTTAGAATATATAAATGCTTTTTTTTTGTCTGTTTATCGAAATAATTTTGTTTAGATGAAGAACAAACTCATCAAATACAACCAGCATCGGAACAATTACGTCAACATTTAAGAAAACAACTTGAATATTATTTCTCGAGAGAGAATATGATTCATGATACATATTTACAATCACAAATGGATGCTGATGATTATGTACCAATAGCTATAATTGCAAATTTCAAACTTGTTAAACGTCTAACAAATGATTTACAATTAATTGTTGATGTTCTTAAAGGTATTTTGTTAGAAAAAAAACAGACAAACACAGAAAAAAACGTTAAATTTTCGTGTTTTAGAATTGCCATCTGTTGAAGTTGATGCTGAAGAAAAAAAAGTTCGTTCAGCTGAGGAAAAAAAATATCGTTTAACACGTAAACGTTGTATTATTATTTTACGTGATGTACCATTAGACGCGACTGAACTAGAAGTATCAGATTTATTTTTAAATGAACATTGTCCTGTACCAGCAGTTGCTTGTGAAAGAGTTTTAGAATCAGGTAATTCAGATTGTTGGTATGTTACATTTAATAGTGAAGATGATGCACAAAATGCATTTTTATATCTAACACGAGAAAATGTTTCAATACGTGGTCAAAAAGTTTTGGTAAAAAAAAATTTTTTTTTCTATTAGATCAAAAAAATTTTCATTTTGCTTTCTTTTTGTTTCAAAGGCTCGAATGAAAACACGCCTATGGCAGAAACCATCATCTGTACCAAGTACAAATCCAACAACACCTATATCACCACCAATAACAACAAATAATGGTGGTGCAACAAGTCCACCACCACAACAACAACCTATGCAAACATATCAAACTTCAACATTTGTTCCACAACAGCAAGCTCCACCTCCACCACTTCAATATTCATCACATCCACAGCAACAACAATTTAATCAACAACAAATTCCACCGCCACAACAACAACAACAACATCCTTCTGTTTATATGCAAACAACAGCTAATACTCATCCAAATCAAACATCAATTCTTGGAAATATTCAATCACAAACAAATAATTATCGTCATCAAATACATTCATCTGTTGGTCCACCACCACAACATGTTGCTGCTCAATTTTCTACAGCAAATCAAACACAACATCCAACATCAATTGATCATGCACAAGTAATACAACAATTACGTATGAATTATCAAAATTATGGTGCTAATGCACCATTTGATCGTACTACATGGACAACAGCACATCCACAAAGTGTACAAACAACACAACCAACACTTTCATTTGCTACAACAGCTCAACAAGCAAATATGGCTTCATATACAGCATCACTTCATCAACAACCACAATTTATTACTGCAAATGTAAGTTTAAATGTAATTGTTTAAAATAGATTAACAATTGAAAAATATTTGACATTGTCATTTAGAATTATAATTAAAATGTATATTTATCTTTATTTTAGCATCCTGTATTTCCAGGAAATTTATGGTATATGTCGTCTAGTTATCAAACAGCTGAGGCCTATCCAACAATGGTATGTTAGAATCATGCACACTTATTTTTATATATATATATATATAATCGAAGTTATGAGATAAAGAAATTAAACTGATTACAAAAAGGGACTGATCTTTTTTTATAGATTGTACCTCTCAATTCTTTAATCAGAGTACGAAAAGTTTTTTATTATTATTTTTTTCTTTATTTCTCTTGTGGATGCTTTGATGTGCGTGCATACCCAACCATGTTTTTTTTTTATTGCCAAGCTCAGATTTGTTCTTGAGCATACGTTCATTGAACTATTAATAAAAAATTAAAGGGATCCTCTTTTCTACTTGTTTTTTTTTTCACTATATGTATTTGCATGAATTATATACATAGTTATTATCAAGCACGAGGATCTCTTTTGAAGTTACATTTGAGAATTAGAAATTGAGCAAGTTTAAGAAAGAATATTTGATGATGATAGCATGAAGCTTCGGTTATTTTTTTTTTTGTTTCTTTTACGCTCGTTGAGAATAGTTTTATATACTGTCTTATGTTTATCTATATTTATTTTCTAGGCTTATAACGGTGCCAATAAACAAAAAACTCGAATGACACGTGAATATCCACTAGCACCTAAAACACGGTAAATAATTATCTAAGTAAATTTTCTTATTAACTTTTTTTTAAATATCTAGCAATTCAACGAAACCACCAGGTACTCGTAGTTCTCGTCATGAAGGACTTCAAATGAATAATGAACATTCAAATGAATTACTTGATTATTGTCAACACAGTACTCCACAGTTTGTTTTATTCAATTAAATTCTTTTCATTTATTATTCTAAATCTTCGGGCGTTTTTCATTTTGTCTAGTTCCGAAGATAGTAGTTCACCAGTTCCTCGTGCCGAAGCAGTCATTAATCGTACTAATGAACCAATAGCCCAGCCAGTATCAAATACATCAATACAACACGTTCAAGCATATCCTACCAGTACAATCGATACATCTGCTAATGAAACTATTGATCATTATCATCATCAATCAACTAATGATGTGTAAAAAAACAAATTAACTGAATCGATAAAAAAATCTATTTATGGTTTTCTATTTTAGTTTATATACTAATACGAACAGTCATGTGTCACAACAAGGATCATCTGATATAAATCCATCTCAAGAACAAACAAGTGATTCACAAAATTTAGGCAATTTTTCAATTCAATCTTCTTATCCAACAGTAAGAAAATTATTTTTATTCGAAAATTAATATGAACTACTTTTCATTTAGTCAACAACAATTGAAAATTCGAATTTAAATTATCAACCATTAGAACAACGAAAACCGCCAATAACTAATCAAGACCAACAACAACATCCTCAAATAAATGAAAATCAACAACAACAACAACAGCAATCAAATAAAAAAGTAAATCAACAGCAAGCATCAATCCGTCCATTAATGTCACGTGAAAATCGATCAACACAAAATTCCAATCGTCCATCATCATCACAACAAGGACGATCTCAACAACAACAACAAACACGAATTAATCCAAATTCATCAACACCATTAAGTGTCACTATTCCTAAAGTATCATCAGCAACGTATTACAATCAAACATCATCATCATCACCACAATCACCTAATTCAAATCAAAAGTAAATTAACAAGAAAAACTTATCATCTAAATATTTATTACTTTATAGAAATCAACAACAACAACAACAACAACAACAACAACAACAGCAACAATCTAATGATAATAATGGTCCACGTACATATGCTGATATGCTTAAAAGTAAACAAAATCCCCAACAACAACTATCAACAGAATCAACAAAATCTCCAACAAATGAAACAAATGATATAGCATCACCACGTGCTCAATCACCAACAACTAATACGAATTCAAAAACTGATTCCGTTTCGATTAATACAGAAACTAATGGTCCATTATCACCATCATCATCTGATATATCACCATCGAATCAAACTGAACCACCCATAATTTCTCAATCATCCGCAATAAATGATTCTTCAAATTCTATTCGTCGTAATAGTTCAGCGTCCGATCATCCTCAACAACAGCAACAACAGCAACAACAGCAGCAACAACAACAACAGCAACAACATACATCGTCACCATCACATCAACAGTATAATAACTCACGCGGTCGTGGTCGCGGAGGAAACTATCGTTACCCACATGAACGTCGTTCGGGTTCAAGTAATAGTTTAAATCGTGGCGGCAGCGGCGGTGGTGTTAGTCGTGGTGGAGGACGTCGTACAGTAAATAATAATGCTGGTCCACCAACGTATCAATCGCGCGGTAGTGGTGGACGTGGTAGTGGAAGATTTTTTGATCGGTCACGAGGAGGAGGTGGTAACTATCACAATAGTAATCAAACGGTGCATCGTTTCACCGGCAACACAGGCAATGTTGAATCACAGGTTCACTATGCCGAATAGAAAAAAAACAAAAAAAAATAGACATGATTTATTTCTTCTCGAGTTGTTTGTCTTTCGTTGCTTATTTATTTGTAGTTCTTTGTCTGTTGAAAATGAACCCAAGAAAAAAAACACAAGAAAAATTAACAAAAAAAAAAGAATAAAAATGTCAGAAAAATAAAAGAAAACGTTTTGTGTGTGTGTGTGTTTGTTCCACTCTTTCATTTCTCGTATCGTCTACTTTTTTGTAACGATTTAAAAAAAAACCAAAAAAAAATTTTTTTCTGTTTTTTTTGTTCTCATCCTATTCTGTATCTGTGTGTGTTGGTGCTCTTGATTTCTCTTTTTGCTTTTTTTTCTTTTCGTTTTGTCTTCCGGAGATAAAAAAATTTTCTTTTTTGTCTTTGTCGTTTGTTTTGTTTCTTTTTTTCGTTTTGGATTTAACCGCTCAACCCATTTCGGACTCGCACACAAGAAAACAAAAAACATTGTAGTCTCCCGGTGTGTGCTTTTTTCTTTCTTTTCAAAACAATATCCATCTTAAATGTTCCTTTGTTTTTCTTTTCTTTTGTCAACTTGTATCTGTTTTGTCCATTTGCTGGTTCTTTCTCTTTCTTTTTTCTCTCTTGTTTGTTCAGTTGACCGATTTGTTTGTATGCGTCGAAAGTTCTTTTTTTCTTTTTTTGTTTTGGCTTGTTTGTGTTCAGAGAAAATTATGTTGGTGATGATGAAAGATCAAGAGATATTGAGTGTGTGTGTGTGAGAGAGAGAGTAAGAGAAGGAGGAACGAAAAAAAAAAACGGAAAGATCGATTTTTTTATACAACTAATAAAAGATTTATGACCTCCTCTCTTGCGGAATTTGTTTAGTATTTCGTTCTATTGCTTCAATAGCAAGTCGAACACGATTTATTGGTGGAGATTTTGTTGTATTAATTGTTGATTGAGACGGTTTGGAAGTTTCAATTGATTGATGAATAGAAGATGACATCTAAAAATAATGATATTTGTATTTTTAGTGACACTAGTAAGTTTTGTTATCTGACAGAGAGAAAAAAAGAATTTTGCTCTTCTAACTTAATGAGACAGACAGAAATAGCTATTTAGATGGGATAGATATCATTTTCTTGTAGACACTGAAGTAATAACAGATATTCTGACGGTTAAGATAGAAGAAACGACGACAAATGACGTTAGAAGAACTTAGTTTTCGTATAAAATTTTCAATTTTCTTCATTATTTAAAGAGAATAACGTATATTAGAAAATTCTATTAGCGAACAAAACTTCTGAGTGTAGCTCCGTTAAGGTTGAAATGTGAAACTCACATATTCTATATAAGCTAGCACATAATTTAATATATAAATTTTTTGTTGAGATTGATTTCGTTCTTTCCTTCTCCCGGTCATCACTTAGTGCGAGAATTTTTTAGTGAAATGAATCAATCAAAGATTTACACAATGAAAAACTTTATTTGCTTATTAATAATGATCAACATTACACACAAAATATCAAAATGATTTTTTTCCAATCGTTTTCGATATGATTAAATGATGAAGAAAAAAATAACAGACAACAGTCAAATTGGGTAAAGTAATGAATTAGGACAATTTTTAGTTTTTCATCGAATGAATGAAATAATATTTCTTTCATTGACTTTTTTTCTCTAGGGGATTATTCTGTTTTGATTAATCGTATAAATTCAGTGGTATTTATTCAAAATAATAGGAAAATTTCCTTGAGATCGTGAAGAAGTATCCAGTGATGAGTGACCCCAATCATTTTTGGTCATGATCTCAGTCAAAAGAAAAATTTGGCTCCGGTCCCACATATATCTAGAACTAACAATTCACTGTATTATATTTATCTTTCGATATTTTTGTCTTGAATTTGTTTTCTAATGAGCATTTGAATTTATTTCAAATTAACTTTTTCTTTTCATAGCAATTAAATAAATTTGATAAGTTTTCTTAATTTACCGATAAATCTTCTTGTTTTTTTGCTATTGTAAATGACCAATTTAGATTAGATTCATATGCATATTTATCTTGACTATGATTTGAACAATTATCTATTGCTTTAATTTCAATATCAGATGAAGATTGTTCGATATGTTTATCATCAGTCTCTAATTTTAATAAATGAATATTTTTATTTTGTTGATATTCATCAGGTAACCATGTAATATGATATTTATTTTTTTCTTTCCATTCATTGATATTTTGATCAATATTTATTGTTGAATTAATCTTATTATTATTTTCTAAAGAAACAATTGATGAAAATAATTGAATACTTTCAAGAAATAATGTCATATGTTCATATTCAATTGAATCCATTTGTAAACATTGTTGTTGATAATTTGTTTGAAATATTGAAAAATTATTTCGAAATTTTTTTGTTAAATTATTTTTATATGAATTTATGCATGAATGTTGTTGTTCAATAGAATTATTAAATAAATCAAATTGTTTTTTATAATATTTTAATTTAGAATGAATAGATTTTATTGAATTAGTCTTTAACCAAATGGAACATTTTATTGTTAAACATTTAAATTTATTTAAAAATTTTATTATATTTTCTAAACGATTATTTAATTGACTTGTAAGTTGAGATAAACATGAATATATTCGATTTGATATTGTGCTAGAATGCATAAGATAATTATTTAGATTTGTTGATAATCTTGCTAAATGTTCATATTCATCTAAGAGTATATTCTTAAAAACAAAACAATTTCTATGTATTAATTTTATTGTTTGAATTGATAAATTAAAACGTTCGATAAGACTTAAGGGATGTGGTGTTAGACAACATCGACAAGATGACATCGAAAAACAAAATATGTGTATATAAATAAAATTTAAGGTTAATACAATACGCGCGATATTAAGAATAATGTTTATTTTTGAGATCCTTGGATGTTTTGCTTATTTTAGCATCTAAACAAGTTCGTTACGAATTTATTTCCATGTTGCCTATGGATAATATCGGATATAGAAAAACTTCATATGTATATTAAAAATTAAATTCTTTGGAAAAAATACTCAACTTCAGTTTTTCCAAAAATTTCGGACATATAAATATCGTAAACATACCCAATGAAAATTTGAACAAGGTTAGTGTCTTTGGTTATATGTAAGACATAGCTGTAATGTTATAAAAATAATTTCTTTTATTATTTATTGATGAAAACTATTGGCCATCTTTAGTACTTTAAAAAGATTTTGTTTTTTTAGTCAGTATAGAAGTCGGACTGATAATATTTTGATGAAGATGAACTTTACTCTCTCGAATTTTGTGACTATTGCATCAAGAACAATACGGTTGTCTTGCTGAAAGTATATATTCTCTAAAACACTTAGATATATCTTGGAACTGAGACTAAATATTTTTTGAGAGAACATCCGAACTAAATTGTTTTCACCGAAGATTGGGATTACAACCCACACTTTCTTTTTATTGAGAGCGATTTTTTTATGGTCGTGTAAGCTTACATTGAATGACATATTGTCACGATTCATGTGTTCTAAATAGATATGAGTAAGATGGTCATAGTGCCAGCGAAATTGGAATCGGCACCTAAAACGATTGGTTCCATCACTTGTACCCACTTTAGTTTTAGACTAATACAACCTAAGTTGCGATTACATGAGCCTTTTTTTTCTTGTATACTTATATAACCTTGATGCATATAAATCGTGATAGATAAAAAAGAATCAAAAAAGTTTATCCTTGTAAACTCTCAAAGAGCTCTGACGCATAATAACATTTTTTGTATATATATATCTATAATTGGAAATTGAGAGTGCATTGAATATATCTAAGATTCATCCATGATGTTTGTTCTTTTTTATTTTTGATTCGTCCAACGTTTTCATTTTATTCTATATTAAAAATTAAATATTCTTATCTTAAAAAATAACGATGACAACCATCAAGAGCATAGATTTTTCTATTGTTTTGATAAGAAATAATGAATGATGTAATATATTCTATTCATCTCTTGGGTACATTGACACTTGATAATCAAAATCAAGACAACGCAATCTCATGAATATAAAAAAATATTTCTTTTGTTTCAAAACGATGTCACTGGTTGTTAAGTGTCGCTTAGGATTTTATTGGTTAATATGATTCATCAAATCGGAATGTATTTTGAAAATTTCTTGTCGTATTCTTTCACTATTTTTTTATTTTGTGGTGATGGACACAATTTTATCTTCATCAAATCAATCAGCTTTATTTAGTAAAAATATTTATTTAAGAATCATAACAAATAATAAGACAGATGAAAAGTAATTTTAATTAATTAATTAATTTATTCATCTAAGACAAAACGAAATAATTTCTTTAGATGTCGAAATGTTCACGTAACAGTTGAATTTCAAACAGCAAGTTCATTACAAACAGTAAAAGGTTTTCGCAATATAAATATTCTTAATTTAATAATTTATTTAGGAATTCGTTCTTAAATTAACCGATGAAGATGATCCATTTTTTCTTTATGAACTCCATTTAAATCTTGATGATTTTAAAAAGTAAAAGAAAAAACAAACAGTTTAATGAATTCATTTTTTATATTATTCATATTTAGTTTAAAACGAGAACAAGGATTATTAGTTGATTTTAATACATTTCCTCAGCATGTTATTGATTATTTAAAATTATGTATACGTGATCAACACAATGATACAACACCTGCTAAGTAAAATGCAAACAAAAATATTTAAAAAAAACAACAAAACTTCTTTTCTTTTAAGTGGTTCTCGTTTTCAATTGCAACTTGTTACTGATGAACAACAATTAACGAATCATCAGACACATTTACGTGTAGTTGAAATAAGTTCATTTAAACATCTTACACATCTATCTCTATTGGTAACATCAGCGAATGATTATGAAATAAAGAATTATCTTGCGAGACGTTTACAATCAAAAACAGTAAATCTTATCAAAATTTTTATATTCATATGAAATTTTTTGTTTCGTTTCTTTCAAAGATGGATTATAATCAATTAAGTAGTGATTATGAAAAATTGAAGCGAGAACTTGAATTAACTCAATTAGTATATTCAATTCAGTTAAATTTTATATTTTTGATATTGAAAAAATTTTTCTTTTTTAGGAATTAAAAGAAAAAAATACAAATTTTGAAAAACTTAAACTTGAATCGGATTCAAATAATAATCAAATTGTTGGAAGACATATGCAAGAATTAGCAGAAGAAAAAGAACGAGCTTTACAAGTATGTTAATAAACTTATAAGAACTTTTACTTCGAATATCATCGAAGGTTTTTACGAAAACAATGTTTCAAACATTAAAAGAAAAGTACAACTATGAAACGATTGTATTTTGAGAGATTGAGTGATTTACATGACTCAATATTATAATAGAATATCTACTTGTTATAAACAAAGATATACGATCATTTATAGAAACAACAAAAAAAAAGCTCGCTTTTATTCTCATTGTACATAGAGATCTTTGATGATCTCAGTTTTGCTGCATATTTCTCTATGTATGAATCGTCAAAATATGGTTATATGTGATGTAATACGACTTTTACGAGTGTATACCAACTTCGGATCATACTTGGAATCGACAGAGTTTTTTTTTTAATCGAATCAGTCCCAAGTATGCTTCGAATTCTTTATTCTAGATATACGCAGCAACCACAATTTCGTTTTCATGATATTGAATAAAGTATAATATAGAGTATTTGAAAATTCTAAAACCAATGAAGATTATTTCTTTCTATAGATGAAATTGCGTCGTTAGCAAAAATGGACAGTATTCTCAAGAGACGACAAAGAAAACAGTTGAATATCGCGATGCTCTTAAGGCGAAAGTTTTAACGCCACTTCGCCTTGGATGGCGATGGGATACCAATGCTCGCGAATCTCTGTTTTATATCTCCATAAAATTAAAAATTAATCGAACAGTTTCCTTTGTATTATATTTGAGAAATCGTTTCTGAATCGAGACTATGTACATATGCAGTCACAAGTGAGCGATGGGTATTTTAAAAAGAGTTCATATCCGTAGCTGATTGATGTGGAAATATTGCACTTTTACGGTAACAGAAACAGATGATTTTCCAATTTTGACTTGAAACTTTGACTTTAACGAGAATAGTTTCAGATCTTGTCGTTGTTTCTATCCTAAAATATAATTATGATAATAGTGTGTCTTTTACATCGCACATATAAATTAGTAGATTTTATGTTCTTATTTCAGGATAGAAGTAAATCAAAAGATTTGAAACTTTTGTAATAAACTATTTTCATTAAAGCTAAAGTTTTAAGTCAAAAATTAGTTTTTCTGTTACAATGGCATTCACTTAAACAATGTTCAAAAACAATTTATTCAGTTCGAGGATTTTCGTCTTAAGAAGATTAATGATTTGGTCTTTGCATTTTGGGTAAAATTAATCGTATTTCTTTTTCAACCAGATTAGAACTAACTTAAAAAAACCATTACATTTGATAACTAGACTTCTATCTGACCACAGTTTCTTTTAATAGTTGGACACAAACTCATTCCTGAGTTTAATCTTTAGCCATAATGTGACTTTTATAAGAAAATATCATATGGAAAGAAATGTTTCACGATAGACTAAATCCGAAAATGTTGTCAACATTCTTTTACAGACATTTTTATTCGATTAATCACTAATGATCCTAGAGTTAAAGCCTAATTATACGTTTTCCTTCCATTACAATACACTGTAATTTTTCTGGATAATTACCTTTATTTGTCATGTACATAATCCCTACTTCATACAATATCATGAATTTTGAAAAAGTCTTTTTTTTTTTACTTGATTAACTTTTCTTAAAACATGTGTAGATGCTAAGATACAATCAAATTATTTTCTCTTCACTCCTACCCATCCAACTAAGTCTCGGGTTGAAGAGTACTAGTATATCATTTAGATGCCTCCCCCTCCTCCTTAACTGCTAAGTATGAAATAATATACTCTCGCTTAGACTGCCGTCATACAATTAGATTATAGGACTTATGTTATAATAGATGATCCTAATCTCAATGGAAATTGTTTAGTTATTCGGTTATCTTAATATGCAGAAATGTTCAAATATAGATTTTGTTTTGATTCATTACATTCGAAAATATTTTCTTTTTCTTTCTTTAAAGGAACGAACAAGTTTACAAGAAAAAATGGAAAATGACCGTCGTGAACTTGAACAAACACATTTACGAAATGTTCGTGATATGCAAAAACGTTTATCTGAACTTGAAGAAACAACAAAAGTTTGTATTTATTTTATTTATAATAAAAAAAAAAACACAAAACTTTTTTTTTTTTTGTCTTTAGGAATTAACTAGTTTAAAATATCGTAATGAAATAACAATCAATGAACTTAGTTCAAAATTACAAACATTAACTGAAGAACATCAACAAACTAAAGATGAAATAATTAAATATAGAAAAACCAATACAACACTTGAAAATGATATACATCAATATGAAAAAACCGTTAATCATTTAAGAACTAAAATTGCACTTGTTGAACAAGAAGTTAAAAGTAAACAAGAAGCTATTCAACAAACAAATGATCGTATTGCTATTGAACAAGAATCAAAAGTATAGTTTTTTTTTTTCATATTTGTTCCATTATTTCAATTATAGTTTTTCCATCTGAGTGCATAATTTTAATACAAACATTTATAATTTTTATGTAGATGATTAGACAAGAGTTTAATTACATAGAATACTTTAGTTCTATTTAGTAAAATAGAAAATGAATTTTAATCAATAAAAGGTTGGAAGCATAGATGGAAAATACTGAGTAAAACTATAATCT